CTAATAAACTGAAACTGACACGGGGACAAACAGAAGAAGACACCTTCACCCCGGTATGGCTCCCCTTTATCACATACACAGCCCAACAGGACAGTGACAATAATCCACCAACAGCATACAAATCAATATGGCTAACCTGATCCAAAACACCCACCCACCTCACTCACACACGAAAACAAAGATCACCACAGCCAATCACAAGCAAACAATCACACCCTAGGCCAACCCCAACCTCTCTCACCACCAAAGGAACACAAGTGAACAACACAAGCACGCTGACACCAGACAAATCTAGAAATATCTCTCTGCCACTTCTTGAAACAATCCAGTATTTTAATATTCTTTTGGAAGCCGCCCAGAGTGGCTAGGGAAGCCCAGCCAGATGGGCGGGGTATAAATTATTATTATTATATATTATCATTATCATTATTATAAACTGCTGTGCAAATATGGTTAAAACGGACAATTAAAACAATGCAAAACAATAAATTTAGAAACAAGGTTGTAGTAAAGGGGCTCCGGCCACTCGCCCCTCCCTCACCTGCCCTTACCCTCCATGTGGGTCAGGTTTCTGGAATGGAGGCCAGCAGCCATTTACTTTTTGACAAAACAAAACGCCACAGAAATGGTAATGCTGCCACCACTCCGTCTCAGGGCACCCGGAGGCACAGTCCAAGGGAAAAGACTATGCTCCTTTGTTACCGGTTGCCCCACTCTGCAAGCTGCTTCCACAAACTTGCAGGCAGAAATTCATCAGGTATAGCGTAACCAAGTAGTCAGGCGTTGGACTTTGATTTTCCCTCAGATTGGCACATAAGACAAAAGATTCTATTTTAAAAATTTATTAAAAAAAACACAAAGTTAACATGCTTAAAAAGCAGGCACATCTTTTGTATCTTGCAGGCAGATAAAATAAAGAGATTGTTTAATATAGCTAACTAAGATACTCACTTCTAAGAACAAAGACAGAGATAGGATAGTTTCAACGTCTTTCAGTAGTCAGCAGGAATCTCCCTTACAAAGAGACACAGGGCGGTGGTCCGCTAACAGCCGGGCGAATGGCAGGTTGCAGAGCGCGCTTTCTCAGCCATTCTTAGGATCTTTGTTCACAAATCTCACGTGGAACCAGAACCCAGACCCAATCACAATTCTTGATTACATTCAAATTCACCAGTGACCAGCTTATGGGCTAATAATTTTAACTTGTGACAGCTGAGCTCATTCCCAGAACCTGGATCAAAGGGCTCCCCCTTTCCTGGGATGTTTCACAGATGCACATTCCCAGGTAATTAAAAGACTGATAACAACACTAGGTGGGTGTGAATAGCTGGAGCCTCAGGTGTCAAGACCCCCAATCAAACTAGAGAACAATTTACACATTGGGAGACTGTCCTAGTGTTGTTATCAGTCTTTTAATAAAAATTACAAAAAGATAAAATCAAACAAATTCCCAGGCCCAATAAACATCCATCCCACCCCACCCCACATACAAAAAATTCAAAAGAAAATTTTAAAACATTTTAAAAGCACTCTGCACCCCTCCAGCAGTAACAGCAACTGTCCTAGTGAGGCCCGTCAGGCCCTGCCCTGGGCCAGGTGGTAAGTGGCAGGAAGGAGCAGGGCCCCCAGACACTCACACAGGAGAGTCCTCCTGGGCAGCAGAGCGCAGCAGTCCTTATGAGGCTTCAGGCCCCGCCCCGGGCCAGGTAGATGGTAAGCGGCAAGAGCAGAGTCCTCCTGGGCAGCAGAGCGCAGCAGTCCCTGTGATGCTTCAGGCCTGGGCCAGGTAGGTGGTAAGCGGCAAGAGCAGGGCCCTCACTCACACAGGAGAGTCCTCCTGGGCAGCAGAGCGCAGCAGTCCTTATGAGGCTTCAGGCCCCGCCCCGGGCCAGGTAGATGGTAAGCGGCAAGAGCAGGGCCCTCACTCACACAGGAGAGTCCTCCTGGGCAGCAGAGCGCAGCAGTCCTTATGAGGCTTCAGGCCCCGCCCCGGGCCAGGTAGATGGTAAGCGGCAAGAGCAGGGCCCTCAGACAGAGAGTTTTTAGAGGAGGAAAACATGAAAAAAATATTCTGAATAAAATGTTGTACCAAACTATTTAAAGCAGCAAAGCGGGTGGCTCCTGTCCACTTTGCTGCTTTAAAGCGAGCCTCAGAGGAGGGAAGGAAGGGGAACCATGGCTTATCTAAGTCCAGTTAATAATGCTGAGCCTGATTTTATATGCATCTCAAAGCCCTTGACATATATACATTATTAAGCCCGGGAGGAGGGAATCCGCTGCAGCCTCGAGCAGCAAAGAGGATCCATGGGTCCCCTTCTTCCCTCCTCCGTGGCTGCTTTGAAGCAGGAAAGTGGGAGAGGAGCTGCTTACACGGGTGTAAGCGGCTTCCCTCCCACTTTGCTGCTTCAAAGGGAGCCACGGAGGAGGGAGGGACCAACGGAATCCCCTTCCCTCCCTCCTCCCCGCCTCAGCTCAGCAGCCGCGGCTCTTGCTGGCTTTACAATGAGCCGGAAGGAGGGACAGACCCGCCTCCCTGTAAAGCCAGCCAGAGCCGCAGACACACTCTACACAGCTCTTGCTTTAAAGGGAGAGCTGCGCAGAGCTTGTCGGCAGCAGCGGCTCTTGCTGGCTTCGCTCCATAAGACGCACAGACATTTCCCCTTACTTTTTAAGGGGGGGAAAGTGCGTCCAATGGAGCGAAAAATACGGTACTATACCCAATTGCTGACACAGCTTGATTAACACAACTCAGCAGAACCTGCTATGTTTCACAGCTGTAAGAGTGGGTTTCGTTACTTGCCCTGGCCCTTAAAGACATACACAACTTGTGAAGCAACAATGAACCTTCACATTTTAAAGTGACCATTAAACTGTTTTATCCTATGCCTGTTTCTTTGTCCTCATTTGCTCTAACAGTTATCGGTTAAAAATAAATAAATCCTAACTGCTACTTTATTTATATGCTCTTTCTTTTTTTTTTATCCTGGTCTGTGACCATAATAAAGTTCATACAAGTAGGTTCCAGGGTTAGGTCCCCTGGCCATGGCAACCTAGACTTACCTCCATTTGTTGTTGCTGTCTAGTCGTGTCCGACTCTTCGTGACGCTATACTCAAGTCTTTAAACTTGTCCTGGCTCCTCACCTCCGTGCAACGTGAGAAACTCTGTCGCAACAGGTTGGCACACCTCTGCCCACCTCAGGATGCTGAGGAACTGAGGAACCTCAAACGGTCCCAAGCTCCGTTGCTAGGCAACGGCAGTTGGGAACATGGAATTCCCGGCCTCAGTGCCAAGGTTCTAGGAGAGGCCGTGTGGCCTAGTGGTTAGAAAACGTGAATGCCATGCAACACTAGGGTGATATATATATATATTCTTTGAAATGTACAGTTTAATACTTTTTCTATTATTTGTATCCTGCTTTGCAGACTCTTGTTGTCTCCTAAAGAAGCTGACAGGATTGAACCCCTGTACTTACTTATGTGTTTGCCGTGTACATTTATGAACGTTTATTTTATATTTGGGACCTTTGAATTCTGAACTCTGAACTCTGGATTAATAACAACTTAGGAATCTTCCAGAACGGCTAATTCTATTGCTGGGAAGGACTCAGTGACAGACTGGGGTTTTAGGAGAGGGGTGGTATGGGGTTGGGGGCAGGTGAGATGGAGGTGCTTGGCAGTGGGTGTGCTGTATGCAGAAAGCATACTCTTCAATTCCCATGAACCACCTCCTTTCAGTTACTGGTTTCTTGGGGTTGGGGCTAAATCCATGATCGGTCAGAGAAAAATGAGCGGCGGCAGGAACCAGTCAAAGCAAGGCAGATCTTAATTTTACTGTTGCGACAGAGTTTCTCACCTTACGTGTTGCATGGAGGTGAGCAGCCAAGACAAGTGTGTGTAACAACTTTTAAAGACTTGAGAAAATGCCAATAATTATAATAATAACTTACTTTTTATACCCCCCCCCAATCTGGCTGGGTTTCCCTTAGCCCAGAGGTTTTGGACTTTTTGAGTCCACGGCTCCCTTGACCAACTACATTCTTTCTGTGAGGCTCAGGAGCCCAGCTATGTCACCCCTTGCCAGCAGAGCTGGCAGCCTCTCGTCCTTTTTCTGACTCCTTTCCTTGTGGAGTGTTCCCTCTTCTGGGAACTTGTGCGCCCATCTCACTCAAGAGGCCGGGGGCCAGCGCTGTCCGGAGACACTTCCGGGTCACGTGGCCAGACAAAGCTGCATCTGGCGAGCCAGCGCAGCACACAGAAACGGCGTTTACCTTCCCGCCAGTAAGCGGTCCCTATTTATCTACTTGCACCCGGGGGTGCTTTTGAACTGCTAGGTTGGCAGGCGCTGGGACCGAGCAACGGGAGCGCACCCCGCCGCGGGGATTCGAACCGCCGACCTTTCGATCGGCAAGCCCTAGGCGCTGATGCTTTTACCCACAGCGCCACCCGCGTCCCCTTTGAGTCTAGAGAGCCATAAATGCTCTCAGTGGTTGCTACAAAGGAAAAATTCCCCCAACATTTCAGTGTGAAAGAGGAGCCCCTTCATTCTCTAATTGGAGGAGCATATCATCTTATGGTAGCTGAAATGGGGTGGACATCTCATACCCTGATTTTGTTCCTGTGGGATGCAGGGAACAAGTTTGCGTATCCTGACCACCAGGCAATGGATGTAGACTTTACCCTTCATGAAATTACAGCGGGAAATTCCCCTGAAATAAATACTGGAGCTATATGAGAATTATCATTATAGTCCTTGGTGTTTCCTAGTTTGAGGAAACTTGGCACGAAATCAGCACCTAAGAAAGACCACACAGTACTTTTATTTATATATATTTATAGTCCCATCTTCCTGGCTGTGGTTGAAAACCTCAAAACAGCTTGCAGAGGTAAAGAGAGTTTAAGATACAATGTATAATTCCCCCTCCCCTAATTTAAAAAAATTTAAAGCAGGAAGCAGAAGAATAGGTTAACAAATGCAACTTTGATAACCATCGCCACATACCTGACTTGTTTCTGAAGAAGCTTGTTCTGCAACTCAGCCAACAAATCTGAAAGTTACTTGGCCATTGGTCTTGCAAGCTGGGGCTTGATGAAGTCACTGGACTCTACCTGGAGGATTGCATGTTAGCCGTCCCCAAACTTCAACACCAGTAAAAACATTAGTAAATGCAGAAACTTGGTCCACCATGCATTTAAAACAATATTGTCAGAGCTGCCCGAGGTCCCAGCTCACAAAGGACCAACGCCAGTTCGTTGTTATATACAAAAGTCTTTATTGAAGTTCAGTTTCGCTTTCACAGCCGCAGCGCGCAGCTCTACGTCTCAAACTCTAGACCGCTGAAGCTCCGTCTGAATCTCCTCCCCCCAGACACCAGTTTAAGACTCTAGCCTTGCTCCACCTCTTCCTTTGCTCTTTCCTCCTCTGGTTCCGCCTGTCCGCTGGGGTCTTGCCCTTCCTAGACTCTTCTGACGCTGAGTCCCCTGAGTCTTCCCCCTGCCTCCGGCGGGCTTTAGGACCTGGTTCCCAATCCGGGTTTTCTGCTGTCCCGCGCGCCTGTACATTCGAACTTGGCGCGCGCGCCCAGCCGGCAACCTTCCTCCTGACCGTTACACTGCTCCTGTCACTGCTTCCCCCTTCGGGGAGGCTAGCTGGACCTGACCTCCCCTCCGTTCCCCCACTCTCCGATAGAGGCGTGGTCAGCCCTGACTCATCTTCTCTCCCTGCTGGAGGAGACGCTGGCCCTGACACATGGGACTCTTCCCCCCCACTACGCTCTGGTGGGGAAGCTGGTCCTGATCTCCCGCTGCTGCTTTGGGAGTCCCCGCTGGCCCCTTGTTTCTGGTGCGTACCCCCTGGGACCCCCCTTGCCCTGACCATCGGCGCCCCCTTCTGGGAATCTTCTGATTCGCTGGAGAAGCTCATGGAATCTCTCGGGTCACTGTCATACTCCCCTACGCTGCCCTCAGATTCTTCCCCTTCGCTCTCCATTTCCTCTCTCCCCTGTGCCTCTGCTCCTGAGCCCCTGACAAATATGATAGTAGTTTAAACAGGCATGACTTCCCCCAAAGAATTCTGGGAGCTGTAGTTTAAGGGTCTGGAGAGTTGTTATGACCTAGCACTGAGATGATGCAAACTCTTAAAGCACCATTAAAAAACCTTAAGAAGAGAGTGTTTTTAAGGCCCATTTCAAAGACTACAGTCGTACCTTGGATCTTGACCGCCTTGTGAGTCGAATGTTTTGGCTCCCAAATGCCACAAACCCGGAAGTGAATGTTCCAGTTTGCAAACGTTATTTGAAATCTGAACATCCTCCACGGCTTCTGATTGGCTGCAGGAGCTTCCTGCAGCCAATCAAAAGCCACGCCTTGGTTTCCAGACATTTTGGGAGTTGAATGGACTTCCGGAACGGATTCCATCTGACTTCTGAGGTACCACTGTAGTAACTTTGGTGTTCAATTTGCAGCTTTGCTTGGGAGGGAAGTGTGGCAAGTCTTGCATACCCTCCAAGTCTGAGTGTTGGGAACAAGGGCAGCGGCAATTGGCTCCTCTTTCCACCTCCTTCTCTCATTTTTATTATACATTTTTATTGGGGTTTTTTAAACATATCATTTCCAACAATCATTTAACATAACTTCTTATCTTATACAATATTTTTGACTTACGTCAACATCTGAAGATTTTCCGTTCTTTATCACTTGTTCTGCATTTCTTAATTTCTCTATTACTTTTAATTATCCTTAACTAATAATTCTCATCATAGTCTTTCTTGCAATATTTCAAATAGTCCTCCTTACAGAACTTCTTGCAGTCCTACTAGCGTAATCTGATTATTACAATTGCTTTTCAAATAGTTCAAATATTTACTCCAGTCTTCTAAGAATCTCTGATCCCACAGATTTCAAATCCTTCCAGTTAATTTATCTAATTCTGCATTGTCCACTTCCCACATCCTTCTCGCCAGCTTTCCAGCAGCATTTTTTGAAGCCCTGCTAAATGGACAGTTTGGTCTATCCAGCTCAGCAATGCTAATGAATTAAAGCTAACCCCTTACCCTGTTCGCCACTTCTGTTACAATTGCAGTCCATGCATTTAGAAGCAGTTTGGGTCATGATGCCACCACCTGAAATTAGATCCGCATTTTGGGAATGAGAAACAGGATCTGGGTGTCTCCTCAGCAGAGCTGCTGCTCACATAACCCTTTCAGAGCTGGTTTCTGCTCCAGTTGTAATTGCTCTTGGCACCAGTGCTATTTTCTTCTCCAGAGTGGCTGCCAGCTGGAGAGAGTCCCAGTCAAGGAGCCAGGATCAGGCTCCCTCCTTAGCAAACTTTGATCCGTATCAAAAAAACCAACAACCCTAACTTTGATCCATACCCACAGTCATAACTCCAGCAGGAATGCACTAGGGGTTAGTTGAGGTGACGGGAGCAAGTGAGTTTCTCTCTCTCTCTCTCTCTCTCTCTCTCTCTCTCTCTCTCTCACGTCCAAACAGCAGAGGTGAAGCTCAGGTGATAAAGATGACTAAAGCAGTGAATGTGTGTCTGTGACAAAGATGTTTGTGCAGTTTGGACTCAGAACCTACTTGCTATCCTTCCCGCTGCTAAGCAAATCAGTCCCTTAAGCCAAGAAATTGTATTCTCTATGAAATTGAATATCAATATACGTATCAAGGCTTTGAGATTAGACCACTGAAGAAGCCCGGAAAACCACCTTGGGAGTGTGCTACCTGCAAGCCCCAGTAAAAGGGCCCCATCGGGGGCGAACAGCGGCCTCTTGATTACTTGGACTGCCAGGGCGAAACAGGTGCAAAACGCCGGCACCCTGTCTACAACTTCATTAACATCCATCTACAACTTGTCAGCGGTTCGAATCCCCGTGACGGGGTGAGCTCCCGTTGCTCAGTCCCTACTCCTGCCAACCTAGCAGTTCGAAAGCACGTCAAAGTGCAAGAAGATAAATAGGTACCGCTCTGGCGGGAAGGTAAACGGTGTTTCCGTGCGCTGCTCTGGTTCGCCAGAAGCGGCTTAGTCATGCTGGCCACATGACCCGGAAGCTGTACGCCGGCTCCCTCGGCCAATAAAGCGAGATGAGTGCCGCAACCCCAGAGTCAGTCACGACTGGACCTAATGGTCAGGGGTCCCTTTACCTTTACCTTTACAACTTCACTAGCATCTCTCGGTATTGTGAACAACACCGGACTTACCTTTTGTTGGTATCACTTTGAGAAGCCAAGTTACAGGGAACCAGGCAGAGGGCCTTCTCGGTAGTGGTGCCTGCCCTGTGAAACGCCCTCCCACCAGATGTCAAAGAGAAGAACAACTACCAGACTTTTAGAAGACATCTGAAGGCAGCCCTATTTAGGGAAGCTTTTAATGTTTAACAGACCACTGTATTTTAATACTTTGTTGGAAGCCACCCAGGGTGGCTGGGGAGACCCAGTCAGATGGGCAGGGTATAAATAATAAATTATTATTATTATTATTATTATTATTATTATTATTATTATTATTATTATTATTATTTCTTCATGAACTTACCTAAAAAGATAAATAAAACAAAAGACGTGAGTTAAGCATTTAAAAAATCTATTGAAATCAGACATTGTAAGTTCATCTTAGACTGGGCAGTTTGCAAGTTTCTGTGGCTTTGCACAAGGTTTTGTATTTTTCTCAGAAGATTGATAAAGAATGTGTAATTATTTTGGTAATTATTGTGTGTATATTAGTTGCCAATGTGTTGCAAGAGTCGTACTACATCCTTCCCACTGCAGTATTTTGGTTAGCCACTGTGAGAACAGGATACTGCCCTTAGAGGGCAATCGTTCTCCTGATCCTGCAGGCTCTCCTTAGGACTCCAGCCCTGGCACTGACTACATCCCTGGGTAGGACAAGTGAAAACCCAGTATAAAATGTGCCGTGGCTCAGCTCGGCTGCTTTTACTGTTGGGTATTGATTTAGAAGGGGGCGTGGGTGGCGCTGTGAGTTAAACCACAGAGCCTAGGGCTTGCCGATCAGAAGGTTGGCAGTTCGAATCCCCGCGACGGGGTGAGCTCCCGTTGTTCGGTCCCTGCTCCTGCCAACCTAGCAGTTCAAAAGCACGTCAAAGTGCAAGTAGATAGATAGGTACCACTCCGGCGGGAAGGTAAACAGCGTTTCCGTGTGCTGCTCTGGTTCGCCAGAAGCGGCTTAGCCATGCTGGCCACATGACCCGGAAGCTGCACACCGGCTCCCTCGGCCAGTAAAGCGAGATGAGCGCCGCAACCCCAGAGTCGGCCACGACAGGGATCCCTTTACCTTTATTGATTTGGAAATGTTCCTGGCCTTCCAAGATCCACCTGCTTCTAAAATGAATGCCAGCATTCTGACTTGGAGGTTGCTGGGGGCAGCAGCTGGCTGTGTTCCTAAGATGTGGGGCGAGTGGAAAAAAGAAGCCCTAGCAACCAGCAACACGGAAATTTTCATCCTGTGCTAAATCCTCTGCAGAACCAACTTGTTAGAATTTGCAAACATTCCCCCCCCCCCCGCCCCAGCTCACCTTAGATGGCTTTTGTTGCTTGGAAGAAGGTGTGAGGGTTGAGGAGGTACTTGGCAGTAAGTACCAGTTAGCTCAGCCAGCCAGGGCATTGCTGGAAAGACCTTGAATCTTTGCTTCTCTTGTTTTCTTCGAGATTGGAGAAGGCTAATCTGCTGCCTTGGGCTACACCTCCCATCAGCCACAGCCGGTCCAGAGGCACCCTCTGTAAACTCCTTTGGAAGGCTTATGCCCAGGCCCAGGCAGAGGGGGGTCACATGGGCCACTTGGCCTGAGCCTCCGATTCCAAATGGGGCCTCGGTCAGCATATTCACAATCGCAGGGGATGCACTGGGGCAGAGGCGCAAAGGCGGTGGGCAGAGGAGTGGGATGAGTTTCAATATATTAAAACGAATTAAGTCTTTCTTTCAAGCAACAATAGCTCAAGAACGCCTACATGGTTTAGCAATGATAAACATAAACCACAATAAGGCGAAGTTGCTTGATTTTTCCTGCGTAATTCAAGAATTCGCAGAAAAGAAAGCTAGGAAGGCATTTTTAAATGTAAATACTTAAAATAATCCTTTTCCCTGTGTATTTTTAAAAAGCACTATGGTATATCTATATTTTCCATTTTGCCTTTATATGCAGATACGGTTCAAGCCTTGAAATAAAATTATTTGTCAGCATATCTTTTGTGAAAATTATTTATATACTTATTTATAAGACTTCAGTTATCCAAAGGGGGGGGCACATTATTTACCTGGCCCCGGCCTCTGCCTGGCTCTGCGAGGCCCTGCTTATGCCATAACAAATAAGCCAGCCCAGGGATGTCTTAGCCCAAGGGGGCCCTTATTCCCATCAGGGCCACATGCCTGTGGTGGGTTGGGGCCAGAGGTAAAAGTGGGGGGGGGGGAGGCAATATAAATTTTATCTTTGCTGCTAGCAACAATCGCTTTGCTCTGCCTCCACAGCTGGAGGCAGTAAGTCGTCTGCATCCCAGTTGCTGGAAACTTCAGGAGGGGAGAGGGCTCTCGAACTCAAGTCCTGCTTGTGGGCTTCCTATTGGGGCTTCTGGGTGGCCGCTGTGAGAACAGGATGCTGGAGTAGGCCGATTTTTGCATGCTTACACGCCACCCCCCCCTCATCCAGACGAGCAAAATGCATTACAGTTGTACCTCAAGTTACAAACGCCTCAGGTTACAAACGCTTCAGGTTACAAACTCCGCCAACCTGGAAGAGTTACCTCAAGTTGAGAACGTTGCCTCAGGATGAGAACGGAAATCATGTGCCGGTGGCGCAGCGCCTCTAGTTAAGAACAGTTTCAGGTTAAGAACAGACCTCCGGAACAAATTAAGTTCATAACTAGAGGTACCACTGTATTGGGGTTCAAAGACAACATTCCAGTCAGGTCAAGGAAAAAACGGTGTGTGGAGAAGCAAGGAAGGCCAGTGATGGGTGTGGTCTGCAGAGAGTTTGAGGGCCAGGCAGAGAGGTGCAGGGGCCATATTTGTTCTCTGGGAGCCTGAGGTTCCCCACCCCAAGTTAGCCTTTTGGGTGCCGCAAAGTTCCTTGCCGGTTTTGTGGCTGTGTGATGGTTTCCTTCCTTCCTTCCTTCCTTCCTTCCTTCCTTCCTTCCTTCCTTCCTTCCTTCCTTCCTTCCTTCCCTCCCTCCCTCCCTCCCTTTTTTATTAAAAATGCCGTAAAATGGCTACATACAAATTCAATAAAACCAAGAATACAGCACAAAGTGATACATAGTTTAGCAATTTCAGTTCCAGAGCCACAATGTGTTGATTAAAACCTGAGAAAATAAAATTGTTTTCTGACCACCTGCCTATATTATACGAAGCAGGTGCCAGGCAAATGTCGTTTTACATGGTCTTAAAACAGTCCGTATAGGTTCTCCACGGATGGGTTTGTCAGGCTGGCAGGAGAACTTTCCTTTCCTCTTCTCTTAAGTATGAAGAGAAGGGAGATACTGTGCGGTTCTTACGCATAACAAAAGTACCTTTTCGGTGGCAGTGTCTTTACTGTAAAAAGGAGGAGGGTCCCTCATTTTGATTCCTTTTGAGGGGGTCAGCAGGGAATATATGGCTCTGCTCTCGGAACGTAAAACATTTTGCACAACGGCCCTTGTACAAACAACAGGGCATTCAGACCAGACAACCAAAGGGAGCGTTTATGCTTGACAAACAGAAGGGTGTCTCTAGAGGGCTGGATCTCCACTGCCCATTGGAGCAGCGGGCAGAGATTGGAGGGAGTGCCAGGGCCGGCCTCTGATTGGCAAGCCAGGTCTGGCATCCGCAGGTCTGGGCTGGGCTCTGGTTGGAGCAGGAGGGCACCTTTGAATGCACACCTTAGTTGGCTTTGTATGTGCAGTTACTGAGAGCCCAAGCGGCGTCTGTTTGCATAGCTGTAGAGCGGAGGCTCAGAGGCTGCTGTTGTTCTTGGCGGGAGTCCATTTTGGAGAGTGGCTGTGCACTTGATCCAAGCAAGGTCAGCGAGCCTGAGAGTCTCACTGGGTGTGCACGTGGACAGCCGCAGGAAATAACCTGGAGCGCAGCAAAAAGCCTGTCCAGCTGCAGTGGACAATTGCATGGAAGGATCACTCCACCAGGCAAGTGTTGCGATGGGTCTTGCAGGTTTGGGCTGTTGTCCCTTCTCCCCGCCTCGCTGCTTGCCCAGCCCTGATCTCCTCCTTGGAAATATCCTTTATTGTAAATGACCTCCTGCTCCAACTCCCTTTGCTCAGAGTGGGAGCCTGAAAAAGTCTCACCTGGAAAAGGCAAGTGATGTCTTAACCCTTGTTCCCTTGCAGAACCCCTAAATGTTTAGTGTGTGATTTGTGGCAGCCATGGAAAGAGAAGAGTCTTAGTTCGGTGGTGGAGGAAATCTTG